CATATATGAGTGGAAGTCGCTGAGTAGGATTAGATGCAACTGCAATGTTATGCAGTGCACTGGCTCTCATAAATCTAGCAGGTACATAATTAGACTCTGAATCATACAACCCAGATTTCTCCAACAGCATATCATCCTGCTGACTATCAGTCATAAGTTCTCCTACATGCTGATCAAAACCAGAAGTTTCCATGGAAAAAACACTAGCTGGATTTGATTCAATATCATATATCATCCGATCCTCCAATCCAGGTAATACACCTTCATCAGGATACTGTTCAAGTGCTTCATAGTCAATTGGAGGTAAGCAAGAAAACACTCGAGAATGTGCCTGAATAAACTTCAATAGTGACAAGATTTTTGACTTGCGCACCATATAAGCACTAAGCTTACTTAATTCATCCTTTCTCAATTTTCGAGAACCAACAAACACAACAGTAATTAAATCATTCACATCACTAGGTGTGCGCGGCAACTTCTTTGCATGAGATATAACTTGCATAGGATGTGCACATGTGTTCCCATGAATATACAACGGATTTTCTTCAGACGTTGAACCATACAACCGAGATACATGAGCTGTTGTACGATATAAGCTACATGCCATTTCTTCCACCCATGTGATATCTTTCAACTCATCAGGAAGTTCTCCGCGATAAAGGCCATTATTCAAAGCAAGCCGTGGAAGTTTACCTCTCGTAAGAAATGAAAAACATTCTGAGCAAAAATAAACATTAGCAACACCACTCTCATTCAATTTTATACCTTTAGGTTCAAGCAAAAGTCCATTCAAAGAACTGTTTACATAAGAGAACCTTGAACTTGCGACATGATCCAATATATAAGCATTATGCACACGCAACAACTCCAGCGATGGTAAATCAGTAACGGTGTGATAACATCCTGACCGTAAGCGATCCTCAGATCCACATGATGCACAAATATCCAGCGGTTTATATCTTATTCCCTCTGAATATGAATGTATGCAAGATTCAATAACAGCATCAGAAATAGGCTGTGGCCATTGAGAACTGGCACGTTGAACTTCGCTCTGCTCCTTAACAACCTTTGCAACACGCACACCGCGTCGCTCTGCAACGGCATCACGAACATCTGCAAATGCATTAGCTGCATCATATCCTACATCACTGCAAAGCTCAAATATAGCATCCAAAACCACTTGTGCATATCCTCTCTTCTTCAAAATATGATACACATAATCATCTCGCTGAAACAGTTCAACACTTGTAGCAGAACATTGCACACTAAGATACAGTGTAATAATCATAGAATCATCCAATGAGGAGATTGCTCGAAAATCCCGTTCAAAACACTTACTCAAGCAAACCTGAAGTGACTGTGAAGACACTACACCATACCCAAACTTACTTTGTGACTTGTACACAGATTTCCCTTTCTCACTTTGAGTAACAACGTGGAACGCATCCACCATCTGTGATATATCATCCTCATCTGTGCAGTGAAACACACTTTCAACCTTCTTCAAAACACTCTTGCGAAGAAGTACATGATCAACTCCACGAGAATCAATACTACAAGGCAACACCTGCACCATTTCATAAGCCAACGGAGAACCAAATACTTGCCTATAGCCTGAAAAAACACGCTCAAACATATTATCATCTTCGATATCAAAAAATTCACCATGCATTCGTGAGCACTCCTCCTGTATGAAACATATAGCAGCCTTCCGAGTTTTAAACTTCTTCCCTATCGACTGAGAAAGCGATGTAAACATAGAAAAAGGAAGCGAATTCAACAGCAATCTCTGCTGGGTAGCAAGATTTGGTACAGCCCATATCGGGATAGTCTTTTTCACTGAGAGAAATCTCTCGTACATAGCATTCATAACGGCGAAAGTGAACCTGGAAAAAAAAACACAACGGCAGAGGTAACGGCGAAAGTCGTCCTAGAAAGAGGATGTCGCAGCAGAAGTGGATACAGTAACAGCAAAAGGTGTCCTATCGAAATAAGATGCGGCGACAGAACTAGATACGGTGCTGAAAGCTGATACGGTGCTGAAAGCTGATACAGTGCGGAAAGCTGATATGGCGATAGAGACGATTGGAGTGGTCGAAAAATAAGAAACGTGTGAAAAACAGCCACAACGAACGTTATCGCCAATAGCGTCATCGAATCAGTGTGTGAAGCATTGCATCATGGCAGAAATCTGAAGGATCAGATAAGAAACGAGGTTCACAAGACCCTCTCTTCCCTTCGGTCAGAGTCGGGATACCAACGTTTGTTTGCCCCCCTTTTAGTGGACCTCTCCAAGCTCCCCGTAGCTTTTTACAAGGACCAAGACCTACAGTCCCCGAGTCGTTCTCAAACTGACACCTTTTCTGGCGAAGGAACCCAGAATGTCCCTGTATCTCTTACCAAACCTCTTAGGTGGAACCTGACCCGTTTGTCGTTACCGACGATGTCTAAAAACTATTACAAGGGTTTGCCCTCCAACCCACACCTTATTGCTACCACCCATTCGAGTCCTGCTGAGGCTCCATCTACCCCTGCGGCCTCCTTCGTTCTTAAAGAGATAAGGGTCTTACCTTCCAAGCACCTCTTACTAGCGTTTGGGACAAAGGTCTCGCGGCCGGCATCAGCCGGGGCCTAAACACGATATGTGTAAACTGGACAAGTCTGGATGCCCTCACTATCGCCAAAGTCGGAGAGTCCTCTGGACTGGCCACTGTTTGGATCGGTGTCGAATCTGGGGCGCTCAGCTATGAAGAAGGGAGTAACATCGCACACAGCATCCTCAAATACATCCTCGATCAATGGCATATCCCAGACTGCCGTGTAGAGATTAAGGAGACTCATGGTATGAGACAAACAGGCAAACCTGCTACCTCCAAATCGCCTACAATGGAACTTACCCCGTTCGTCGTAACCGACGATATTTCCGAGTCCTATTACAAGGGCTTGCCCTCCAACCCACGCCTGATTGCTACCACCCATCTCAGCCCCATAGCCCCTCCATCTAGCGGCCAGATGGAAGACCAATGGGGCAGGGATAGGTGGTGGCCGGATTCTGGTCGTGATACTGTCCTTAAAGAGATAAGGGTACTAGGTGACCACCCTCTCGCTAGTGTTTGGGAAATTGGTCTAGCGACCAGTATTTGCCAGGACCTAAATAAAATGTGCGTAAACTGGACGAGTCTGGATGCTCTCACTATCGCCAAAGTTGGAGAAGAGTCCTCTGGCCCGGCAACTGTTTGGATCGGTGTTGAATCCGGGGCGCTCAGCTATGAAGAAGGCAGTAACGTCGCATACAGCATCCTCAAGTGCATCCTTGAACAATGGCATATCCAAGACTGCCGCGTAGAGATTAGGGAGTCTTGTGTTACGAGACAAATAGGCAATAAGTTCCTTAATCTTGTCCACGTTAATCATGCGACTTTTACCGCTCGCAGCCCATACACTGCAACCCTTGGCAGCCCAATCTCCAGTAAAGATACACTCTGGGCCGAGGGAACGGGAGGATTCTATTTCAGTGCTGGTGGAAACGACAGCAATATCTACCTTGTCACGGCCCGGCACGTTGTCTTCCCCCTTGGCAAAGACGATAATAAGGAATACGAGCAGACGAATGATAACAAAATTCGTGAAGAATTAGTGATCCTTGGAACCTCTTCGTTCAATGAGCATCTCGCTGCACTTGACAGGGAGGTTAAAGACAAGGAGTCCGTGATTGCAGACCTCAAGGATTGGCTTTTGTTTTTGAGGGATAAGGATGACCCTGGGTCAGTGAAATCGCTCGAAATGGATGGGATGAAGTTGCAGATAGAGGAGGTAGAGTTGAAGCAACTGAACCTCTTGCGGAAGGACATTGCCGCTGAGTGGGAAGGGGCAGAGAACCGCGTATTTGGGGAACTCGTCTGGGCTCCTCCCATCGTTCTCTCCACTGAACCCAGTCGCTACACTCTAGATCTCGCTGTCATCAAGATTGACCCAGGTATGCTCGACGCTGAAAACTTTTTGGGCAATACTGTCAACCTTGGGAAGAAATATACTTTTCCGGAACTCACCGAAAAGGTCCATCTGCATTCTTCCAGCCCCCCTTCCTTCAAAATACCCGTTGGCCACCGTCTCGTGACGCTTGAAGACCAGGTCCCTGAGGACGCCCTGTTTAATCCGCCAATGCGTGACCCTGCCGGCGGACCGTGCTTCATCGTCTTCAAGAATGGCGGAAAGACTGATATCACCTTTGGAAAAGCTAATAACGTTTCATCTTTCACCCGCACTTGCGTTGCTGGCCAGTACACGGAGTCAAGGGAGTGGCCGGTGGTTGCAACTAACCAGGAATCAGGTGCATTCTCTGCCAAAGGGGACTCTGGGTCTTGTGTTGCAGATGTTTTCGGACGTATTGCTGGGATCCTCACGAGCGGGTCTGGCGCCACCGAATCATCCGATGTAACTTATGTCACCCCCATCTCCTTCGTCATGCAGGTCCTCACCAAGCGCTTTCCGCAGGCTCACCTCAACTTGACGCTTGTTGTTCCTGCAGGTGAATGGGCTTCGGCTACTTGATTTAGCAATCGGGTTTGTTTAGTTTGTTTTGTTTCCTCTCTGGTTCATGCGCTGACGGCCTTTTGTTATCATCCAGCTTGTCGGCTTGGACTTTGTGGGCATTTTGGGAAATTTCCCCGTTGCTTAGGGCCCCGTCTTAGCCAACGCGGGTATCTGACATTGTTACTTCTCTCCGAATACCTGTAGCCTGCATAGCTCTCTCCATGATTTTACGCTGTTCAATCTTTACCATTAACCTTTGCCATTTCCTGTGTTTCTTCATTTGCATATAACAAGTTGACCCAGTGTAACCGATGTGGTCCCACTTAGGCCTCAGCTACATATATCGCGCCAACTTATACATGCCTGGGATGCGCAGTCTCCACAATGCTGTAGTGAGGATATTCCGATCGGTTCAGAAATGACGAGTCTGTAGGGACACCAAAACAAAAAAAAAACCTTCACATACATGCCTCCTAGCCGGATTGAACGACTGACCTTTGCATTGTATAACGTCATGTACAAGTGCAACGCTCTACCACTGAGCTAAGAAGGCGTTACTAATTTTTGGGCTCAATAACTTTAAGCGCTCAATGACTGGCTCGGCCCGGATAGTCATCTTGGTTGAGAACCGTCATCTTGGTTGAAAACCCTTTGGAACTCGTCGCTTGAAGACTCGCCGAAGAATAAGCCACTCTTGCCAATACACCAATACTACTGTAAACGGTATTGTAGTGCACACAGTCCAAATCCATTTTATTTCTTCTTCCCTGTTACAAGTCGACATCGGAATCTGGATTGATTGCGTTGATACCGGGGAGTGACGGTCACCGTGAGTCTGATCTTCTCGAATAGTAATACAAACTCACAAAAAACGTATACGAAGGGGTATACATCACTTACCGTCTTTCTTTCGCGCCAATGGACGCTGAAAAGGAGAAGTCCAAGCAAGTGCCGCCTCAGCCATCTGCTCCCATTTCGGACTCGCCGAAACGTGTACAAGGAAATGCCCTCGCTAACGAATCCACTCAGAAATCAACGACGCGTTCGCCAGCTCCCACTTCTACTTTAAATGGGAAGTCCAAAGAAACAACCCAGTCTCCGTCTCCTGGAAACCCCAGCTCCAAACTCGACACATTTCTGACACAGCTACCGCCGTGGATTAGCACCAATCTTCGGAAATCTCGCTCGTTGAAAGTTTGGTTTCGTTGTTGGCTTGCGTCATGGGTGGCATTTCTCATCTTGCTTCCGAATGCATCCTCAAATACACTAGGAACCGCGTACGCCGAGTTCAATTGTTCACGATCGCTGTAGATTTATGATTTGTTCCAGTGGTTTCTTTGCCCTACTTTGCAGTTTCTTTATCCCTGCAAACCTTCCGGTACAGCTTTTCGCTTTTGTGAGCTTTTCTCGCCCTGTCTTTTCGATACTTCTCTGACGTTTTGCTTCGGCTTTGATAGTCCTTGTTCACCCTTGTCATCGGTCTATGTTTCAGTTGGGGAATAGGTGTAGCTGCTATGCGTGCTGCTAATGCAGTACGGAGTACATCGTTGATAGAGGCTGTGGAGTTGCAGATCCAGGAAAGGTGAGTACGAGCTAGCTATCCTTTTGCATTTCATTATAATCTTTGTTTCCAATTCGCAGCATCAAGAACAATCCGGTTTTTCAAGCAAACCCAGCTTTGGCCACAACTACAGCTGTGTTCAGCGGTGATTTCTTGGACGTACGGTCAGTATTCCACATGTCTTGCCTTACGACGTCCTCATCTCTGTTTCCCAATGTGCTAGTGCCTCCGCAATATATGGATGCTTCCTTGGTTTCTTCACGTTCTTCTACGCGCTTTTTCGAGCGTATAGGCCCAGACTTGTGTTCACCTCGATTTTTGCAACTATTGGGAGTGAGTTACCTCCGATTTAATCCAAAGTCTAGGAACTGATTATCCATGTTCATCTCTAGTTGACATTTTTTGTGTGCGTTCCTTCTGCCTCCACTCTCGGAAATGTTCGACTTACACAAGATTTGTGTGTCTTCCAGACCTTTGGTCCCCTCTTCCCAACAGCCCAATACACCATCCTCAACTCTTTTATCATTTCGATTGGCTGCTATGCCGCAATCGCACTTGTTGTGACGTTATTCGTTTTTCCGGAGACGATGTCCCATTCCGCTCTCAGGAGCGTTTGCGAGCAACTCGAGCGGGTGGAGAAGGTCGTGGTGATGCAAGGCGAGGTTCTCAGGGTGATTGATAAGGAACGGGGGAAAGCGGGAATTGAGGAATTAGCCCCTGGAAAACCTCTTGCGATGAAATTGGAAGGTATGAAGGCGGTGATGGTGGGTATTATGAAGATGCGTGAGTCTAGAAGGGTATTCTGTCTTCTCCTTTTCTCATTCGATTTCAGTGTATGGTACCGCCGGTATGATCTCCCTCGAGTTCAGCTATGGCAAATGGAGCTCGGATGATGTTAAAGATGTCATCGAGCCTCTCGCCAGCGTCGTCGCACGCTCCGTCGCATTACAGAGTTTTCCGAAATTGGTTTGGAGGACCAAGGAAATGCAGAGGCAAGGCGAACGTGGCGATGAGAAAAGCGTCAACGACCCTACCTCTACCATGACCTCTACTTCCACAAAGTCATTAAACACCTCCAACGATGCTCATCTGCTACAACAAATAACCTCGCTCAATGCTCAATTTGAAGCCTCTCACAAGCTTGGTATACATGATATCTTCCCTCTCATTGACTCTGCGACAGCAGATCTTCGGAATGCCATTGTTAACGGCGTCGCTGCTGTGCGCAAAAACCTTGATAACATTAACCGCCATCGATGGACGAAGAACCCCGAGGTTGATGGGAAATTGATCAAAGAGCTGGATAGAGCTTATGATGTGCTAACAGCGGCCCTACGGGAGTTTACCAAAAACGAAAGCGATGCCAAGAGGATGCAGATCCTCGGACCTTTCCTCTCCCTGCTTGAAGAAAAAGACAAAGACGGGGGAGGGGTTAGGATGACGAAGGCTGAGCAAGAAGGTCTCCCCTTCCGATCCCTTTTCATCGCCTTCGTTCTTGGCACCAATCTTGTTTCGCTTTCTGAATCCATTCTTAAGACAATGGATATCGTTCAAACGACTATCGCGAAGCGGAAGAGGAATAGGCTTTGGGCGCCGAAGGGGCTTAGGAAGATTGGGAATATGATTATGGGGAGAGTGGAGGGAGGGGAAGATGAGAACGCGGCTGCTGCGGTGGGTGATGATCAGGCGAGGACAGAGGAGGATGCTGGGAATGAGGGTCGTGGTAGGATGGGGACGAAAGGTTTTAGTAAGTCGAGAATCGGTTTGAAGCACGTTTACGGAGGCGCTCATGAATTTATGTTTCAGAGCTCGATCCGGATAGCAGACCTCCTACGAATGTGGTGCAGAAGATCATGAACAACCTGCATATTTTGTATAGGTGGTGTGGGACACCGAAGGCTATGGTATGTGTGTTAGTTTACTCACTATCGCTTTGTTCTTTGCACCCTTTACTCCTTCTGTCTTTATACCCCCGAGGCTTATCGCCTGATCCATCTAGTTCGCATTCAAATACTCTTTCGTCAGTGTTGCACTTTGGCTCCCGGCTGTGGTTAACTCGACTGGTGGTAAGTAGGCCTTGTCTATCTAGCTGTTCGGAGTGATTCCAAGTGAGTTACTGACTTCAAGATCTCTCTAGGCTTCTACTACAAGGAAAAAGGGCTATGGGCGTTGATCATGGCTCAAACTACGTAAATCTCTCATGTTCCATTTCTAACGCATGTTCTAACCATTATCTGTTCGGTAAGCCTGAATATTTACGCCGCGGTGAGTAATCTCCCCGTTTTCACTTCCAGAACATCTTGAACTTTCTTTTGAACAGGATCAAGTTTTCAACATTGCCATTCGACTCATTGGTACGTTCATCGGCGCCACTGTAGGATTGGTTGCATGGTATATGGGTCAGTTCATCTGTGATTCGTTGTCCAGAAAATCGTCTCATCTTTGTACTCCGCGTAGGCAACGGTCACGGAATTGGTAACCCATTTGGCGCAGCAGTTGTTACTGCCCTGTTCCTCTTACCCTTGGTGTTTTTACGGAATTTTACGCCTCCTCAAGTCCTGCCTGGGGTTTTGTTGGGCTGTGTGAGTGCTTTACTGAGAGTTTCATTTGTAACGACTCAAGCCTTTTTCCTTTTTTGATTCAGGCCACTTTTTCTCTCGTTATCGGGTATTCATGGGTCGATGGACATATTGCACAGTTTGCCACCCCTGGTATGTGGAACTCGCATGTTTTCGACCTGATCATTGAGTTCCTTTATCTAGGTATTGGATGGAGTATCGCATGGAAGCGATTCACCCTCGTTGTTATAGGTAAATACGTTTCTTCGTCGTTTTTACTTTGCATTCTCACTATCATTGTTTTAGGATCAGCAGCCTCTTTTATTGTTATGATGCTTCCCCCCACGTCTGGGCGGAAGGCTGTACGTTCACGAAATGCATCAATTATCGCTAGCCTCGGAAATCTCTATGCATTCCTTATGTCAACGTGGATCGCTGAAGTCCCGCGTTCAACCAGTGACGCCGAGTCGGATTCCAACTCCGACTCCTCTGGTCTTGCTCCAGAGAATCCTGGCGAAAAGGGAAATAAAGATCCCGCTAATCATGAAGCTGTCGTTTCAGGGTCCATATCTCATACTCATCTCGCTCCCACTGCTCTTTGGTTGGATGAGTTCCGTGTCCGACTTCTTGGTCTGTCGGAGGAAATAACAACGCTGAGGCAGTTAACGGCGACTGCTACTTGGGAAGGAAGTGTTCGAGGGAAGTGGCCTTTGGAGGAGTACAATGCTTTGTTAGTTGCCGAGAGTGAAATGCTTATTGGTTTGGCGCAGGTTCGCTACTATTTTGCCTCTGAATATCACCCTAGATTGATTTTTTTTTTCGCGCTCAGCTTGGTAATGCGCTAGCGCACCTGGATGATGAATGGCGTATTACTTTTATGCACAACACTCGAGTGCTTAATCCACACTTTGTCTGTACTTTTCCTCCGTTCCACGAGTTGAAAACCTGACCAAAAACTTTTTAGATCACCGACGTTATGACCGTCTTCTCTCTTGTATCTCAATCTCTTCGCAACGGAGAACCGCTTCACCAAGTACTTCCCCAGAGTTTGGTCGGCAGACTTATGTATCATCACTACAATCATCACTATCTACACCAAGCTGCGCCTCGAGACCAGAGTGGGCAGTATTTGACAGTGGACACAGTCTCCTCGTTGGATTACATGTACTATGCTACTGGAGTTGTTGCAGTGTTCCTTGTGTTAAGGGTGAGTGCTCTCGCCGAACAATCTGAACGCGTAGTGACCCTTATCATTTTTAGTCAGTCGATGAGCTCCACAAAATCACGAAGAAACTGTGTGGCGAAGTTCCGTTTCAAGGGTTTGAGAGTTGGAGGAATCATTTTGAGAGCGAACATGTTCAGCGTTTGTAATTTGTCCTATAATAATTTAATTAATATGTATCCTGCACCCCGTTTTGACGTCACCTTGTTTTG